AACTTAATCTATGAAGATTACCTTGAAGTAAAACTTGGAGAAACATTGAAATCTCCTAGGAGAATCAATTATATTTTGTGATTTTCTTTCGCTCGCTTGGTTACTATTTAGCACAGTGTATTTGTTTGAGTCAGAACGTGAGTCTAAGTCTTATGAACTGATCTTGAATCATTAAAATTAGGTTTTAATAAGGTAAATAAATAAATAAATAAATTAATTAATTACTAAAAATTTCCTCCGAGATTGACTAGAACTAGGAAAACACAATACTTACTCAAATCTGAAATTTTTCCTAAGAATTTCGTTTTGACCCTTTAAATTAAATAATTTAATGGCTAATTTATTTAATTAAGTGACCTAAGGTAATTAATAAAGTACCCTTAGGTCGTTAGTACCTTAACTTACTCTTTGGACCATCCCAGGTTAGGTACTAGGTTGTCCCTTTGTTGTCTTAGCCGAAATATGAAAATTATTTTGTGATTTCGGTTTTGCCCATTTAAATTAATTATTAAGTTAATAAATTAATTAATTAATTATACTAGGGTAATTAATAAAGTATACCTAAGTTGTTAGTACCACAACCAACTTTTTGGACCACCCTAGGTTAGGTACTAGGTTGTCTCTTCAACTAGTACTAGGTTATTGTCAACCCAGTTTAGTCTTAGATTTTTGGGTGCACTAATTATTTTATTTTGTTTGGTCCTAGGATAGTTATATAGTTAGGGCGTATGTTAGAGTATATAATTGTTGAGGAAGTTAGTCCCCACATCAAGTGGTCCCTTGTGCACATTTTTCCCCCTAACTACTCTAACCGAATTCGGTTAGGGTGGTCCCCTCATTTGGTTGTTTTTTCACATGTCTTGCAGATGTGCTTGCACATGGGTTGGTTGTGCTTTCCTAACTAACTATTATTTATTGTTCGTTTGAGTATGTTTGCTTATTGTCCCAACGACCCTCACTATGTCCTTGGGCACTGATCACTCTACATGATCATTTTAAATGGTTATGTACTTAGGGTACTTGGCTCGAAAGTTGGATGTCTAGTACCTAATGTGTTTTCAATTGATGAATTTCTGAATTTTAGCTTAGGGTCTTCATTGCATGTACATTTCCAAACAAGCTCATTAATACATAGATATATGGCTAACACCCTTTAAGCTAATATTTTCTAATATGCCTAATATTTTGCTTATTGGGTATTATATAGAAATTGTCTATTACGCCTTAGACAATTTTATTTACTATGCCCAATATTTCTAAATATTGGGCATTGAAATGTCTATGTATCCCCAATACACATTCTTAAAGACCTATTAGTCTCTTCACTAGATATAAAAATTTTCCGAAACGTTACATTCTTTTGTCACTTATTCACTCCTTTTCATCACAAGTTCTCTCATTGCCCATTCATTCTCATCTCTCACTCTTAAATAATTATTAAAAAATATATTGTTCTCTCTATTATTGAAAAGAAGTAAGAATTCTATTAAAGCTTTAGATAATCCTTTGGGCATTCTTTTTTGTTCTATTGCTGTTGTGGATTTATAACCTTACTAAACACCTATTGCTGATAATATTTTCTGTATAACTGATTAATGTTCTTATTTAGCATTTATATTAGTTTTGCATTCATATTTATATGAGTTTGTGGTGACATATGAAACATCTGAATTAGCATCTTATCCTTTCTCTCAATGTGTGGTGTTATACATTGAAACTCGTGAGTTGACCGTGAATAATTTTAAGTTCTTATATATGTAGTTATGATCTCTTGTCTTTAGTATTTTTTTTAGCAAGTTTGAACTAAGGTTTAAGATTTAGAAGAGTCGTCAACAGAAAAAAGCACTAGACAAGATGATTTTAATCAATTTATGTTTTAATTGTTACTTTGCAATAATTTGTATAAACTTCTAACGCTAACTCTCTCTATATATGAAAATAACTTGGGGATCGTCTAAGAGGAGACGGGTGTTACATGCTACTTGTTTGTTTATTTAATCCTAACTTATAAAGTTAGAACTCATGCCTACATATATTATATTATGTGATTTTATTTTTTTCAATTATAAATAAATTTTCAACATGCTTAATACTTTCGTTTAATAACTTTAAGTTTGTTAATGAATTCTATAATAATTAGATTTTAATAACTTTTGCACATTAAAATCATATGCTAATAATTTTAGTGTGTTAATTGGTTAGAGGTTAATAATTCTTTGTGTGTTAATATTTTTTTAGCAAGCTTTATCCCGTAAAAATCACGCCTAAGGATTAAAATATTATATATATATATATATCGTTTGGAATTAGAAAATCTTGTAAATCACCTAATTTATAGACTTATAAATAATATTAAGCATATCAATAATTAAAATACATTTTGTTGTGCATATTGTCTGCCACTTTTAAATAAATAAATCAGTATTGTTGCTAATTAATAATTGAATTTACCTCTTTAAGTAATTTGTTCACTAATAATGCAATATGTTGCTGTTATAAAAAATAAATAAAAAATAATTTGCTGCATATAAAAAATTTGCTTGACATTTAAATAAATGTATTTTATAGTGATAATCTTTGTATTAATAAGTTATTGGCTACATTAATGTTCTGGCCGTTTTCTAAAAAAGTCGTATGGCATGATTTTTTTTGTGAACTCATTGTTCAATCCTCCTTTCAAACTTTACATTGATTATGACATTTTTTTTAAAAAAATAAATAGATTATAAGAACTATCTCCTAGCCTATCGTTAATCAAAAAATAAAAGGAACTACGAGGTCTGATTCCAATTTTAAATAAGCCTATATGTCCCCGGTATTACCACCTACCCATGATTTTCAAAAGGGATTATGTATTTTTATATGTAAATCTTTATGTGCTTATATGTAAACCAAATCTTTTAAAATCATCTTCAAAAATATAAACAATTATTAATTTTTCTAAGATCGACCTCAAATAAAAATCGTTTCTATGGTGGAGGAAAGCGATAAACAATATCGTGGAATCATCCACATAAAGAAACAAACAATTTTTAAGTTAAAATTCTATTCAAAAGTTGCTCAATTTTGAAACTTTATTTTTCGCACATCTTATGCTTGTTTGGTGTAGCATAATATATAAAATCGAACTATCTTCTATATATATTTGTGAATATCTCCTCTTGTCTATATCTCTATCAATTGTTTAATGTATGTTTAATTTCTTTATCACTTAGTGTTTTGCATGCTTAATATTTATTTATATATAATAATTTACGTCTTAATTTTTTGATATTATGTTATCACCTAGGTAGCATATTAATTAAATAAATAACTAAATAATGAAGTGACCTTATTTTCTAATTGTAACCGCCACAAAAATGGCATGAGATACCGCCAGGACCCATATTTGTGGACCTCGAGGGATGCCTAGCACCTTCCCTTCGAGGTAATTTGAAATGTTACCCTAATATCTCGCTCGTTGACCTTATTTAGACTTAGTTAGGTTAGATAAGTGGCCTAATATGCCTTAATATGTTAGGTTGGCGACTCTTCATATTCAAATTCCAAAAGAGTTGTTAGGTAATGCACAAAATCCGTGTTTTCGAGAAAATGGGGCGCAACACTTACCAATTTACCTTCATAAGTCTCCTTACAGATTTTACCATCAATCCATTTAATAATATCATATAATATTAATCTATACAAGAATTAAGTCAAATGTATCATCACTAATCAATTAACCTCAATTCATAACCTAGGGTTAGGTGAAAAGGGTTCAATCATGAAATCTTCCATAGAACTAGGTCAAATACTAAAAAATACAACAATTAACCAATAATAATAATAATCAATTACAAAATTTGAAGAAAAACCCATGTTTTTGATATTATTGGAAACCAATTTTGAAGAGACACATGGGGAAAGAGATCCCAAGAGTTAATAGCTTACATAACATAGGATTCCTTAGAGTTTAATAAAGAAAATATGAAGTCTTGAATCCATAGTGATCCTTTAAGTTTGGTCTTCAAATGAGTCTTTCAATATAGAGAGAAAGTAGAGAGTAGTTGGAAAGAATTGGGTTTGGGAATTATAGGGTGTTAAGTTGGTTTTAGACATAGGGAAGCTTACATAGTCCTTAACTAACTTATTTTAACCACCTTTTAATCCTTAATTAATTAATTAATGAACCAACTAAAACTTGGCAGTTGACTTAACCCCCAAATTCAAAACCCCGTTGACGCCTAATAGTGTCATCGATGACCCGTCCTGCATGGGCGTCGTTTGGGACAAAGACTAGGTTTTTGGACCTTTTGGAAAATATTCCAAATTTCAATCTACGAAGCCATTGGTGGAGAGTCGATCAAACGACGACTTGTCATTTGGATCGTGGATGCACACTGTCCAATTTGACAGTGTTGGGGTCAAATGAAAGGGTCCTTGGAAGAGTAGGCCTTGGAGAGTCGTACCCGGAAATTACAACCATAAACACACTCTTATATATATTTAACACCTTTTTACAAAATTTTACTAAATTCTGACTCTTAAAACCCCATGAAACATGCCAAAAGGCACACTAGTGCACATTTCACAATTCTCCGGACGTCATGGTCGTTTTTTAATGTTTTGATGCTAACACTTCCTACTTAGTTTCAATATATTAGTTTAGAATCAGAAATGGTGTTTCAAGTCTTTGCTCATCATGTGAGGCTCTAGAATAGGTCATGAACTTTCAAGTGTTACAACAAATATCCACAAAAATAATCCAAATAAGTTGGATATGAAATTACCTTACCCCGCCAAACAAAACCAAAAGTTGTCCTTAAACGCAAAGAAATAATAACATAGTCTAAAAACAACATAAAAGGAGACAAAAAAGTCATCCTGCCAGGCTAAACCCGGGATGAAGTTTGCATCCTTGGTTCCTCTACAACCCACAATATAAATATCTCTAACTTAAGCCTTTAGTGTATCGATCATGGCCCCCTCCATGTTTACCAAATTATCATACACGTCTCATATCAAACACCCAAATGCTCCTCGTATGTCTCCGCCTCGAACTCAATATCTACATCATCAACCTTAGGAACATCACCAGTCGTAGTAGCCGAAGGAACCTGATAACTGGATGGAATATCAGTGCTCGACATCTCGGGAATCTCCAGCATCCTAAATAGCATCGAAAAATCCATGGATTTCAACTGGTCAATATCCTTCCTCAACTCAATAACATCGACCTTCAAGGCTGTCACAACATCAGTAGAACCCTTCTCTGCTCAAACACCTCCAACCTCACGGTAAGGGCATTCAATGTGAAATTTTGGCCTTAATCAATTCTCTATGCTCCCTCATATGAGCTTTAATCAGGGAAAAGGGAGCAGAAATCACCCTCTCTATCAGCCTAGGCATAGAAGCCTTAAATCGGGAAGCATACAAAATAGAATGGGTTAGTTGACCTATTTTATAAAGAATTGCCTAGGTGATAGGGGGTTGGGAGACAACAACTATAACAAAAAAAGTAGTGGAAGGGGTGGAACAGAAGAAATATATTATCACAAACATAAGGTATAGAAGTACCGTAGGATCCTTAGCCAAAGAGGGAATGATTGCCTCAGTTGCAAACATATCAACATCAAATACTGAGGATGTATCCACCAGTGCAACCCTCTTCCTATCAACCTCAAATCTCAAGTCTTGGTTTCAATACGTCGGATGTCTATTGAAGAGATAGAGGTCACCTCCACATCTGTCTTCTTACTCGTTCTTATACAGGAACACCGACAAAGCTTAATGATTAAGAAAGGGAAAGAAAGGGAGGTCTGACTGCTTGGCCTTCATGGCCATCTCTTACTCAATGAGCAACATGAAGTTTATCCTCTACAAAGATACACAACCTTAGGGTGTGGAAGGGTAAAATCATTTTGTGAAGTCATGACGGTGCTTCTAATAAACCTGAACTAGTACGGAGCGACTACATTTAAATCATTCTTCTCGATCTATGCACCTTTCTCAATCCACCTTGAAGTAACATAAAAAAGAATGGTTGCCAACCAACTTGTTAGATATTTTAGGTCCTTTTTCTTAATCAAGTCAGGGAAATCAGGTATGAAGTACCATGAACACTCGAGCACCTCATTTATCTCCGCACTGTTAAACTTTATCTTCTTCCCCCGCACAACCACAAAGTCAACTGGCTTGAAGGAACTTTTTGTATTATTCCCATTCAAAACCAACTCCACGTATACCGAATAAAATACCGGACCCTAGTAAGGATATAACAACCTCAAGGTTTAGTAAAAACTTCAAATTTGTTGGAGCTTTAAGGTGTTTAACACCTCAAGATATCTATCAACCACACCATCGGTAGACAACATTTTCTCTTCCAAAATGGTCCTTCAACCATTGGCCTTTAGTCTATTGAGTGACGTTGAGGAGGAACCTGAACTAGTGAGGCTTATACCACTGCTTCAACTGGAGCTGGAGTTACAAGAAAAGGAGGCGTAGCAGGCAATGGGATCCTATACATTCATTCATCGACTTGGAGTATAGCTTCACTCTCCTAGCCTGCAGGGCCTGGTTATCTTCTAGGTGAGAGATGGATTCTAAATAGATGTCATCAAACTGATCCTCACTACCAAAGGGAGTTTTTGAGTAAATACGCTCAGTATCAAAGCTACCCTTTGTAGATGTCGATCTCATAGGGACCTTGTCCTTTCCCTTCCTCCCCTGTTGGAGGAAATTTTGTAGTTGGGGCTAGGAGTAAACAACCTGTTCATTGATAACTATTCCTCATGCCTGATTTCTGGCCGGTTGGTCCCTTCCTCCAACTTTGTATCCATCTATACTTGAAAAACAATTTTGAAAACATTCAATGTAGTTGAGAAAAGAAAGAATAAATCATAGTGTAATAGTTTCAGAAAGACTCTCCAAATGGATCGACGAATCGTCAAACACCTTTGTTGAGACAAGTCGGGCTCATTAAAAGTCCTAGAAAAAAAGTCCAAAGTAATTATAGGTTGGCGATGTCCAGGTCCATTCGGTTGATCAGCGACACCACTCGGTGAAATAGAGACATCACACCGAAAGTTAAGAGAAAATTAAGAAATAAGGGTGCAGACGGGCAATCAAAATGAACTTCCAGTGAGTAACCAAGTGAACTTGAGAAGATCAGTCATATCGCTGAAAGTTACAGAACTAAAACCATCAAAGAAAGAAATAAAAGGAAATTGATGGGATAGTAGGCAAACTGCCGAACCACTTAGTGAGCTCTATCCAGCTCGCCAAATAGTCCAACCTACAAATTTTTCACCTTGACCTTAAAAATATAGCCCGCAACCTAGGAAATCAAAGTTAAACTATTTTCTATACAATTAGAGTCATACCCATATTTCCCATGCCCTGGGGTATGCAAACATCCAACAATTTGGCCAAGATTAGCCAACCGACGTCTTTTGCCCCAAATAATGACATTACTGCTCTATCAGTGGATAAAATTTTACAATTAGCACAATTCGGGGTTACTCAGGCTTCACCACACTAGATTTGTACCAAATCAAACATAGCACAATTATTTTAACATTCATAGGAACATGAGTTCATTATCTACGGAAGATTAATCATGATTTCAACTAAATAATGGCTAACACACAACCACATGATAAATAAAGCAACACTAAGCACATATAACATCCATAAAACTATCATGAATTTAATTACAACTAACCTTTATAGCGGGATAAAAACACTCACCTTTTATGCCAAAAAGTTGTATAGGTAGGATAGCAATGAATCCAACTGTCCACCCCAAGCAAATGATCGCAAGTTAAAAGTTATAAAAATAGTATGAAAGCAAAAATATAATAGGCTGCGAGAGTTCGAATGTTGAAAAGTATGAAATGAGGGAGATTTTTAAATTTAAAAATGGTTTGTCCTTAAAGACTCTTCAGTTCGCGCGCTAGTCGGCGACCATTACTTACATCACCGACCCACTAGGCAATGCAAAGAGTGGTGCTTTAGTCCACCTAGTTTCACAAAACCTCCAACAAAATTAGTGGTTCAAACGAAGGTCCAAGTTGGCCTTACCAACCTTTTCAACGAGTCGCCTATTGGACCTTTGGCACTCATTTGCTCTTTTCCAACAATTTCAAATTTTCAACCTACACAACCGACACTCGTTATTCAAAAGAAATATTAAAAACATCAAAAACTTGAGTTGCCTCCCAAGAATTACCTTATTTAGTGTCTTGGCACGGTGAAGATACCTATTCAAGCTTCATTTTTTGGGATTGGCCATTGTGTTAGTCGGGTTCGTCGACCTGTTAAGCGAGTCATCGACTGGAACTTCCGTTCGCCTACTACTCCTTTTCCCACAATTTAACATTTTCAACTTACACAATCAAAACCGGTTCATCAAAAGAAATATTTTAAACATCGAAAACATGGGTTGTCTTGCATAAAGTGTCTTATTTAATGATATGGAACGACGAAGATACCCTTTAAAGCTTAATTTTTTCGATTGGCCATTGAGTAAAACAACAACCCTCCTTTAGGTTTTGGATTCAAATGAGTACAAATTCGACCCGTTTGTGTATCCAGTTGCATAATCGACACCGAGTGAGAAGTTACCATTTGGTTTAGAGGTTGGATGTCTTCTTTCATTTCTTACAAAACCTTGTTCGACCCTTTCACATGGTGAGAATGCGTGAAAGCATATCTTCCGTACGGAAGATCTCTATGTAAACTCTTTGATTTTTTTGCTTTTGACGCTTATGGGGAGGCATATACCTCTCTTTGTCCCCATCTCTCTCTTTACAATTGTTTCAACGATCACACCACTACCTCTCACGGTCTCTCCAACCACCATTGCTATCTCTTTTCCATACTTGATTCCTGCCCAACCTTGGATAGCTTAGACAAAAATCTCTACCTTGATTTGCAAGGACGCTCACTTCCTCATTGTATAAGGCCTCAAGATGTGCTTCATTTGGTTCACCCCACTAACACAAAAAACACTCACCACTCTAATACAAATACTCATCACATTCTTAGACAAAAGATACAGTTAGATCATCATTTTAGCCATGTTTTATTCATTCTCTTGGTTTTTTTCAATATTTTCCTTCATCATCCTAAATGTCAAAGGCGACACCTGATCCTGTCTTGTATATCAAACTTGATTGATCTTGGTCACGCAATCAATAAAAGCAAATGCAATCTCGAAAGGTTGTTGCATGATACCTCCAAGGACATGTTGGTCAAATACACCTTTGTTAATTGAGTCTAAGCTCAGATAGAAGTGTTGTAGAAACACCTCTTAGGAAGTCCATGAGTTGGACATTGATGCATCAACTTCAAGCAATGCAGCCAAGGCTCATCAATTGGATCACCAGCCAAACATTTAAAACCATTGATAATGTCCCTTAATGACATAATATTTGAGCGACAAAGAATTTTACAAAGAACGCCTTAATTAGTTCATCCTAAATGAGGATTGAGTCCCTTGAGAGGTCAGCTAACAACTTGTATCCTCTCCCATTAGTGATAACTGGAACAACCAGAGTAGAACTGACTCTTGGGATATATTCTTGAACAACAAGGGACCACATATGTCAAAGAAATTCCTAATATAGTCACGAGGCTCCTCGTGAGCCAAGCCAAAAAATAAACCTTTCATTAGCAAGAGTTGCAACATTTTGCTTGTCATGAGTAAACTACATTTCCCACGATCGAAAAAAACAAGATAGAACATACACTACCAGAGTGTATATCATTCACATTGGCCTCATTCACATAATTTAAGTTGTAAATATCATCATTTTGGCCCGGGTAGCTGGCATTGCTTCCATGACACTAATTTCGTCACATGTTCATAGACAACAAGCAACAACAAACAGAAATAGGTTCAACTATAACACAAAAAAATTACAAACCAACTTCAATAAAAGAATTAAATAGTACAACTCCCCATATTCTTAGCTATTTTTTTATAAACACTCAACTAAACCTCATCCACTACTACGTATAGGATATCATAATCTAGTATATAACCCAAAGAGGATTTGGGGTCGAACCCACAAGGAACGGTACAGTATCGAATTCAATTAAGAAGTAAAACTTGTGGTTTAGTTAGTTATAGAAGTAGACATTATCAAAACTATAAAAGTAAGTTAATGGTTTGACAAAAAATGTCAAATGAGGGGGGGGGCATAAAAGTGTCAAGTATAAACTACAACAAATACAAAATGGGGGATATAATCGAGTAGATAGAGATTCTTGGGGATGTGATTGATTATAGTCTAATTTCATATGGGTAATTGAAATTTACTAAAATATCTAAATCTCAATGGAAGTCAACAACATAGATGAAATATATTTCTCTTGAACAACTACTATGCTTTGAATCAGTTCTCTCAAATCTCAATAAGAATGACAATATAATCAGACCAATGCCTCAAATTATCCACCCTCTCGAGCTAGTAGGTAGGATTGAATTAAGATACACTCTTTTGTGCAAACCCACAACAACCCAATCACTACAATTGTTAATCGATAACTTTGGCTTTAAAATTTCTCTCTAAAGAAAGCCTAAAACACTAAGGTAGAACTGCATTTGCAACTACAGTTCATAAATTAAAACTCAACTATCAATTAAAACCACATTAAAACAACATTTATATTATCAAACAACAATTTTAATAAGATAGTTAGACCAATAATCACATGATCACACCCCAAGTATTGGGTTTTAGCTACATATAATAAAAAGAAGAAATCAACCAGTAATGTTCTCCATAATCTGGTTATTGCTATTCAAGTATTTACAATGATCCCAATGCTCGAAAGAAAATCACATTGAAATGTACTAGAAAACTCCAAAAACAAAGTAAAACCAAGACTCAAGAAAAACGACCTAGTTCTATAATGGGGAAATGTCTAGATTTTTGACTCTATCTCATTTCTGCATTTTTAAATTCAATTTATATTTTCTCAAATTTTGACCCTCAATTTCACTAGGTGAGATAAGTCAATTGTCGTCGAACAAGTCGCCGATGCGCAAATTACTCCCATCCATCGCCGGTTGTCCTTGCTTTTTAACAAGAGGGTTATGTTAGTTTGGGTGATCGAATATTCTGTAGTCGATCTATTCGGCGGTTCACCAAAGGTGAAAATATATAGCCAACTTGATTTCTCCCTGGGAGTGGAAGTATGGAACTTTTGGCGAGATGAAATGCCACTACGTGAGCCGCCGAGTGGCTTTGGCGATTCTAAACTTTTTCTATCTTCACCCGTTTTCACCCTTGTCATTCTTTTTTGCCCACTAATGTTCTTGACTTGATCCTTTTGCCTTGTTTATTGAAAATCAAGATTTTAACATTTGCTTGGAGAATAAATTAGGCATATAAGGATAATAATCTATATTTAAAAGACCTAAATGAGTCAAAAACTCAGACTCATAAGCTGTATGGTTCTATTTGGATGATTGTAGATTGCATTAGTAAATCAACCCAATTCTTCGTGGTAAAGACAACTTTTTATGTAGAAGATTATGTCAGATTATATATTCAAGAGGTAATCGTACTTCATGGACTTCTGTTGTCTAACACTTTAGAAAGATGTGCGCAATTCACTGCATAATTCTAGAATTCCTTCCAGAAAGGTTGGGGTTCATAGAAAACTTGAGTTATGCTTCCATTCTCAAACTGATTGTAGCATACGATCCATACTTTAGAGGATATGCTAAAGGCATGCATGATCGATTTCAAGGGTAATTGGGATGATCAGTTGCCTCTCATTGAGTTTGCTTAAAATAAAAATTTCTGCTCTAGCATCCAAATGGCTCCCTGTGAGGATTTTTATCGGAGAAGATGTATATCTCCAATTAGATAGTTTGAGTTTGGTGGAGCTAAGTTGATATAACAAGACTTGTTTCATGAAGTTATGGAGAAATTGAAGACTATTCAAGAGAGGTTTAGACAATGTAAACTAGTGAGAAATCTTATAGAGATTTTAAGATAAGAGTCTTGGAGTTTGAGGTGGATTATTCGGTTTAGTTGAAAGTTTCACCCAGGATAAGGTTAAAATGGAATTTGAGTCCCCGTTATATTGGTCCTTACCAAATATCCATGAAGATTGGAAACTTAGCCTATGAGGTGCAGCTACAACCACAATTAGTAGCAGTCCATCAGGTATTCCATATTTCAATGTTGAAGAACTGTATGGACAATACTTCACTTATAATACCTACTTAAAATAATTGTATGAAGTAAAATCTATCCAATGAGGAGATACCCATTCAAATTATGGATTTTCAGGTTCACTAATTACCTAAGAGGTAACATCAGTCAAGGTCTTATGGAGGAATCAGTTTGTTGAGGAATCTACTTTAGAGGCTTAGCAGGATTTGAAAAAAAGATACCCACATCTCTTTAATCCATAGAAATTCCAAATAAATGTACTAACTCTTCTCTTGATACTTTTTAAATTGATATGCTGAGTGTGCTAATTGCATGTTGGTGTTAGGACAAAAAATAAGAAGGTGTAAACACGGAAGCTAGCAAAGCAAACCTCGAAAGACTGCGAGTAAGAAGACAACGAGAAATATACCAAAAGACACAAAGATTTAACATGGTTCGGTCAATCGACCTACGTCCACAAAGGAGATGAGCAATCCACTATAAATATGAGAGTACAAAATACAGAGGGAAACAACCTCAACCAATTCACTCGGAATACATGGGAGGTTCACACAAGTTAAAACGTATCAAGCTTGTGATCCACAAATTCCCCCTCTAACCAAAACTCTCAAAGCCTTTAAGACTACATTGTGAATGTTGATTAAGTTAGAAGTATGTCTCTATTTATCGAGTCTTAAACCTTTTCCTACCACAAAAAAGGATTAGTCAATCCAAAACCTTTTCCTAAAAGGAAAACCTATTTATGGTAAGAAATTTAGGGCAAATAAAACCTAACAAATCTTCCCCTTGGCCTAAATTTCTGACAAAATAAATTTGTCCACCTTCTTTACTTAATCTTCAACAACTTGCTTCTCCTCTCCATAATCTCCTTTGCAAAATTTATGTCTCAACACACAGAATCTCTCTGAAACAATTTCTCCAACAAAATCTTCATTACTGTAAAAAAAAAGGTTGCGGCTAGAACTACACCAGCCAAGATGAGCACCTCTTTCTAACCTGGTTCAATAATCGATTATCGAACCACTAAACCTGACTCCATCATTAAATATGGCTCTGATACCACTTGTTAGGACCGGAAATAAGCAGGTGTAAATGCGGAAGATAGCAAAGCAAACATCAAAGACCACGAGTAAGAAGACAACGAGAAATATACCAAAAGACACAAAGATTTAACGTGGTTCGCTCAATCTAACTACGTCCACAAAGGAGATGAGCAATCCACTATAAATATGAGAGTACAAAATGCAAAGAAAAACAACCTCAACCAATAAACTCGGAATACATGAGAGGTTCACACAAGTGATAACGTATCCAACTTGTGACCCATAAATTCTCCCCCTAACCAAACTCTCAAAGCTCTTAAGACTACATTGTGAATGCTGATTAAGTTAGAAGGACATGTCTCTATTTATAATGTCCTAAACATTTTCCTACTAGAAAAAGGATTAGTCAATCCAAAACTTTATCCTTAAAGGAAAACCTATTTATGGTAAGAAATTTAGGACAAGTAAAACCTAACAAATCTCCCCCTTGGCCTGAATTTCTGACAAAATAAATTTGTTCACCTTATTCACTTAATCTTCAACAATTTGCTTCTCCTCTCCATAATCTCCTTTGCAAAATTTATGTCTCAACACACAGAACCTCTCTGAAACAATTTCTCCAACAA